AAAAAAAAAAAAAAAAAAAAAAAAAAAAAAAAAAAAAAAATTTGTAGAGAGTTTTAAAATAAAAGAAAATGCCTCTGCCATGATGTTAAGCACAAAAAGCAGGTCCCAAAATTGTATATACAGGATGATATCAACTGTGCTCAGGTAGAAGTCTGGAAAGAAATATGCCAAAATGTTGACAGTAGCTGTCTCTCGGTGATAGGAATTGGGGACTTTTTTTCCCTCCTGTTGTCTTATATTTTCCTGAACTTGCCAGTTTTTCTATACTTGAACATGCATTACTTTATTGATAACAGCCGAAATCATAAACCCAAATCAAGGCTCTAGCCTTTTACATACATAGACTATTGATGAGACAGAAAAAATCTCAGTCATTAATTTGCAGAGCAGTGCTTAAGAAATGGGCTTTTTGGTTAGAGCACAACCTTATAACACTGAGATCATGGGTTCAGAGTCCAGTACCAGCCCGCTGCCAAAAAAGGTGGGGGGATGTGTTGTGTATGTATGTATGTATGTATGTTTGTTTGTTTGTTTGTTTTTGGCAGCTGACCAGTACAGAAATTGAACCCTGGACCTTCATCTTATCAGCAACATACTCTAACCACCTTAGCTAATTGGCCAGCCCAAGAAGTGGTTTTAATAGTGTATTTTTAAACATTTAGAAGTTACAGCATAACCTAAAACTACTCCTAAAAATGTTGCTTTTTTTAAAAGTTACAAAATGATATAAATATAAGACAGAGCTGGAAGTTTTAAATGCTGATTTTTATATTTTAGTAATATGTTCTATATTTTGTGCTTTCAGAATTAATGTGTGGTCATTAGCCATTTTTATAAATAGGAAATAAAAAGTGTAATGTCAACATCTTTCAGCCCTAATAAAAACATTGCTTTGTTTTCTTTTCAGTTTCCTCCAGCTTATGCAGGCATATCTGAGGTGAATCAACCTGCTGAATTGATGCCCCAGTTTTCTACAATTGAATATGTGATACAGGTAACTTCTTTGTGGTGCATTTAATAAACAGTGTTAAATATATTTAGTTTCTCTTGAAAACCTTTGGCTTCTGTGTCTCTTACCTGTCCAAAGGGTTTAAAGCTATGAGGGCAGCAGGATCCTTCACATGAGGTTTTGGTGTGTGTGTAGTTACTGGCATTGTTTTCAGGTCTTGATATAAGGCTACAGTAAAGGTGGAGCTGATTAAATGTAAAACCTGTCCTCCACAGCCTTCTCTTAGTTGACGGTACTCCATCTTCTAGTTGTTCACCTTAAAAACCTTAGACAGGGTGCGGGGGAGGGAAGAAGACATAACAATTACAATTCCTTGAAGTCGATATGACAAGCAAACAGAAAGGACATTGTCAGGAGGGAGGGGGGAGAGGGAGGAGGGAAGGAGGTTTCAGTAATTGGCCACAATAATCTACCACATTGTAAATTGACAAAATAAAATAAAATAAACAATCTGGCACATTAAAAAAAAAAAACCAAAAAAACAAAACTTTATACTCATCCTTCACCTCTCTCTCTCACATCCCATATCTAGTCCACTAGAAAATCCCATTGGCTGTCTATTCCAAGTATATCCAGAATCCACCCACTTCTCTCTCCCCTCTGCTAACTGTCCTGGGTCAGCCACTGCCTCTCACTTGAATTACTTTGGTAGTCTCCTAACTGTTGTCCCTGCTTTTACCATTGCCCATTTATATTTTACTCTTAACCTAGAATAACTTTAAAAATATGTATCATGTTATTCTAGCCAGAATAACTTTCAAAACATGTATCATGTTATTTCTCTGCCCAGAAATGTCTAATGGTCAAAATGGTCCCTTTTCACCCAAAGGAAAAGACAGTCTTCAAAGCCCTATGTGTTTACTTCTCTGACTTCAGTTTCTATGAGTGTCCTCATTCAGCCCAGTGGGCCTCCTTAGATTCTTCTCCAAATGCCAGGAACACTCCTGCTTGAGGGCCTTTTCTCTAGCTTTTTTCTCAGGCTGGAACTTTCCTTCCCCTATCTCTGTATTGTTTCCTCCCTCTCGTCCAGGTTTTTGCTCAAATGTTACTTTTTTAGTGAGACTGTCCTGACCTCTCTCTTTAGTACTTGAACCTGCCCTCTGCCTCTCACTCCCGGCATTCACAGTTGCCCTTAATCTCTCCATTCCAGGAAGTTTGCTTCTTGAGGTAGGCAGGGATCTTTGTTCTTTCTGTTCATTGATGTATGCCAGGACCTGAATAATGTCTAGCTCATAGTAGTATTCAAAAATTTTGAGTGAATTGTTAGATACAAATAGATTTTTTTTTTTTGGTGGCTGGCCGGGACGAGATACAAATAGTTTTTTTTTTCCTTTTTTGTCTTTTTTCGTGTCTGGCAACGGATCGCAACCCTCAGTGTCGGGCCCGTACCGGACCGGACTGGCAACGGGATTGCAACCCTCGGTGTTGCGCCCGCACCTCGCTCAGCCAGTGAGTGGGAACCGGTCTGTATGTGGGATCCAAACCCTCGGCGGGAGCGCCACCGCGCTCCCAAGCGGCGCACTGTAGCAGTGCGCCACCGGGCCGGCCTGATACAAATAGTTTTTATGTTTAGTTTGTTTTACTAGAATCTGAGTCATTTAATGAGGTAAGTAGAAGTTTGTGTAGGTGTCCTTATCCCGAGAGTAAGTGTAGATGAAAACTTGCCATTTTCCTACCTGATTTGCTTTAAAAAGAGCTGTTTGTGTTTGTATACTGATCATTGTGCTGTTTTTCTTTGCCTAAGCGAGGTGCTCCATCCCCTCTGATCTTTCTCTATGTGGTCGACACTTGCCTGGAGGAAGATGACCTTCAAGCACTCAAAGAGTCCCTGCAGATGTCCCTGAGTCTCCTTCCTCCAGATGCTCTTGTGGGTCTGATCACATTTGGTAGGATGGTACAGGTTCATGAACTAAGCTGTGAAGGAATCTCCAAAAGTTACGTCTTCCGAGGGACCAAGGATTTAACAGCAAAGCAAATACAGGTTTGTTCCTTGCTTTTGCAGAAGCAGAAGTAAGGGCATATCTTAACAATTAATTAGTTGTTCACTTTTAGTGTTATAGGAAATGAGTCCTTTTTGTTTTTTTAGGATATGCTGGGCCTGACCAAGCCAGCTATGCCCATGCAGCAAGCAAGACCTGCTCAACCCCAGGAGCACCCTTTTGTTTCAAGCAGGTGAGGTGGCGACATATAGTGTTACACATTCTGTAGTGGGCAGGCAGGACGGCCCATGGGAGTTAGGGAAGAAAAAATATTAGAACTTTTGTTTTCTTATTATTAGAGAAAAAAAATGATTAAGCCTAACCAATATTTAATGTCTTAGCAAAAAGGTTTTGAGACCACTGTACTCAGTCATTCCTGCCTCTTGGACACATGGCTGTTGTCCTTTTTAGTCCTTAAGTAAAATTGGAAAAATTAAAAAGGTTTCTTTTGGGTGCCCTCAAACAAACCTATTAACAGGTACTCACTTCACTCAGCCCATCGAGTGCCTGGGGCTGCCCTGGGCCCAGTTAACAGCCATAAACTTGAAAAAATGCATTGCCTGATATGCTGGGGACAACCTCTTACCCTGGTAAGAAACCAGAGTGTTTTTCTCTGTGTTGCTTCTGAGGCTCAAGAGAAATACAAACTGAATCTTTAGAGTGATGAGGATTGTCCACGTAAATGGACCTTACCTGGACTAAATTCATATTAGTCATGTCCTTAGAATTTCTTTGCTGCTTAAAACTTTTTTTTTCTTTTTTGGCAGCTGGCTGGTACAGGAATCATAACCCTTGACCTTGGTGTTGTCAGCACCACGCTGTCCCAAGTGAGCTAACCAGCCAGCCCTTTGTTGCTTATTGATTGTTTTTCCATGCTACATATATAAATTGCTAAGTATTATGCTTTAAATTACATTCCTCAATAGTTATTTCGGATTGTTTTGTGTTTGTAGTTAAAGATAACTTTGAAGAAAAAAGTTGCAGGTTTTTCTACTCTGAATAATTATTTTGAAGAGCAGTAACTGTGTGTCACCTAGAGTTGA